GTCAGCATTTGACAGCAATCCATGTCAATATTATAGAAACTGAAAGGGGGAAGGGGGCAGATAGGGTGGCGAATACCGCAAATGTACACATATCCTCGATACATGTCGAGACTCCGAGAAATTCCAACCCTGGATCATGGGATATGCTGGGTCGAAAATCAAGCGACCCAAACAGATCTCCGTCTCCGTAGTGGCCGTATTCTGCATTCACGAGCGAGTGCGTGACGAGGCGCTTCAGTGTGGGCTTGTGATGCAACATGCTTTGACATATATCATCCCAGGAGACTGCTGGGAGCATAAGATAGAGATCCGTCAAGCCGGAAAAGGCCTCGAGGAAGGTTTTCACGGTGTCGTTGACATTATCCTGTGACTCGTCGGTTATTTGGTTTAGCTTTTCCGGGTTGAATGTCAACTCGAGCAGTTTCAGCCTTAGAGGCACGCGTGAGCGAACGATTTGCCGAAGAAAACTAAATGTCCCGGGGCAGTTGATGAGTTGCATTGCTTGGAGTCGCTCTAGGTTCAGAGCACCGACTAATTGGACCTTCATGGGGCTAAAAGATACCTGGGAGAGAGTCAAGCGTTCAAGAGCTGTGAGAAGGGGGATCGGTCTTTCTATATGTGGAAGACCAAGCACGCATTGCGCAAAGAAGTTCTGTGGCATCCATCTATTTGGATTGGGCAATTTTCGAAAACCTTCTTCCCAGGCCAGTCTAGCGCTGTCCCAGCCGACAAGATCGAGGTGCAGTGCCTTCAATTGAGCTCCACGTGCAGCGATAAACTGTGTAACCGAATCGAAATCAACAAAGCGCTTGAGACCTCTCCAGGATAGGGATTGGAGCTTAGAAAGCTGAACAAGATTTATGACGCATGACGCTTGTTGGATTTCGGCTACAGCACAGTCGCTATCAGTGAGGAGAGAGATAGTAGTGATGTTCTTTTGGGTCTCTAAGAACCTGTGGATGAGGGGAACCACTTCGTCGGAAAGACACGCTTTTAGATCCCACCTAAAGCATGTTAGTGTTGACTCGGCGTAGTGCATCAGAAATCAGTATCTGTACCGGAAGCTCTGAAGTTGGCCCTGAGGGATTCCCGATGCCATGCCCTGCATGTTGTGTGTCAAGATCGGAATGCAGTCAAATGTAGTGGTCGGGTACAGTATCGACTCTGGCATGGATTCATCAGAATCATCCGGAGGAGTTTTTAGCCTGCTGTTCAGGAAATCATGCAAAGAACAGAATTGATAACTTTCTATCTCATGACATGCACTCCACAGCCTGAGGTGCTCTGTATGCACTAAAAGCGAGTGATCTAATCTCGTGATTGCGTCGTTCAAGAACTGAGCTGATGGGTGCGTTGCTCTTATAATGAGTGATTCATATAGACGTGAAAGCAACTTTACATAGATGTTTTTGGAGACTTCACAGAGGTTTTTGAGATCCCTGCGAGTTACCTGGGATGGCGAGTTAGTCTGTTTCAAACGCTTCTGGAGAGGGACAGAGGACTGCTTACATGATCGACCACCATGCGCAGTAGTTCGGGGGGTAGCCTCTCTAGCATCGTGATATCGATAGTCACTCGAAATAGTAGTTGTAGATGAATACTGTTTTCATGTCAGAGGCGAATCTTGAGGCGGGGCCCCGCTGGCATGATATACCGGGGGTTCAAGTCACACAATATAGTATGTGGCGGGGTGAAGATGTCCTAGTGGCTACTAGTATAAATATGAACACCTTTCATGTTGCCTGGACCTATGAATAGCTTTTGTCGACTTCGTACGATCTAGTCTAAGGACTATGTTGTTGTCGCGATAAGATATTGGGGCGGATGTGGGGGGCAGTTGCCGTAGATAGTACAGGCGAAAGTCTAATAAATGTCTTTGGGAAGGAGGCATTCTATGTGAACTTGTTAAAAAATCAGGAAACTGACCGAAGTTGGCGGTAATATCCGTGCATATAGAGGCTGATTCATCATGAGCTGAATAAGTCCCAGCTCTGGAAAGGGGGACGCGAGTGTCATTAGGGCATAGCCTCATATGCATGAAGCGGTAGCATCATAGTGTCCGATATGTCAAGATCCATCCTAGTGCGCTGTAAGTAGTAAACCCTCCGGATAATAACTGCTAGACCATCCGGTAAACGACTAGAATTTTGAGCTGATAGCTCAGAAAGTACATACATCCCTTATAAGAGTACGGGTGAATGTGAGGTCAGATCCCCACGCGATGGTGTCATTCTCCCGCTATATTATGCTGTAAGTTGTACCAGTGGTAGTGCAGTTAATAATCATATTACTTGGTAGAGGATGGTAGAGGGTCATCCCAGATTATTGACAAGCAAAGCTGTACAGCCAGGGGATCAGCATCACCCGGACCGGGCCGAGCAATCGTGTCCATCCCAGAGATGTATCATCATCATTTTCAACATTCTTAAGACTGACAACACCATCGCACCGACGGAAAATTCAATGTGAGCGGGGTAGACAAGACCGTAGACTAAGGCGTATTGTCTCATTGGCCACAGATATAGTATCATGGATAGTACCTACCGAGATAGCAAGTAAGACAAAAAAGCTTGCAGCCGGCTAAATAAGCGGATGAGATGGTGATGTACGGAGCAAAATTCGGACTCCGTATATGACCGACTCAGCCACTATCTTAGATGTTGAAACAGCCCCACAATGGGGACGTATACATGTAATGAGGCAACCGAACAACCAGAGATAGTCCGAGCAAATAACGGTAGCTCCGCAAGCGACTCAATCGAAGATATAAGGTAAATATAACACTAGTACTAGCCTTCAGCATACAATAAATTGATACTGTGTCGGTATTTGTTTCATTCCGACACCCTTGAAGATTCCGTCTAAATATAGCGCATGGATTGGAAACTGGTCGTGACATGTTTAGCGCCTTCGGGGCATGTATAGTGGCATATTCGCTATCAAATAATCCCTGCAATGCCTCTATGTACCTTATCGGGCCAATGAGTATCGATGTCCCTAAGCTCCTTTCATATTGTCCTCGATTATGTCGGAATAGACGGCACAGATTTCCTCGTACATTACCGTTATTTGCTGGGGGTGGTTAAGGGAAATAAAATAAAGATGGAAGTGCAACAACCACGGAAGCCAGTAAATATTCCGATGCACGATCATGATGCTTCTTCGCAAAGCAAACCGGAGCGGGGTGAATATATAGCTTTGAACGAAGACGAATCTACCGAAGGCCTTGAATCTCCGGTGCCTAAAAGCCGGAAGATATTCTCCCTTTCGTTTTTTACCAAGCCTCTCGTATATGCACCTTTAGCAATTGTCTTTGCAGGAGCAGTTGTATTCTTCTGGGTGAGCCATACCAGAAATCACTATACATACACCGATTGCGGAGTGACTCCCGACGAAGCGCGAGCACGAGGTTGTTTATTCGAGCCAATGCAACGTGCATGGATTCCTCCAGAGTGCTATTTTCCGGAGGCAACGGAAGACTACGACACTTTTCGGGACAGACAGTGGTACCTAGACACCAAGATGACGATTGACGCCGATGTAGAGAGGTTGGAGGCTGGGGAAGTGCCCGTAGCCTATACGCGCTACTGGCATGACGAGCATTGTACCTATCTTTTCCGAAAGCTCGCCCTTGCGGTCGATATGGGGAAGAACATGATCAATTCGAAGGCCTTGGATATTGAGCATTCGAATCATTGCGCACTGGCCATAGCCAAGAGACTGGCTAGCTCGTACAATGTCTCGTTTGTGGAAGCTGACCGATCCTTGACGGAAAGCCATTTGGGGTTCGAGCGGTGCCTACCACTCAAGGTAAGTTGAACCCCTTGAATATGTTACTTTCCTGTTAACCTTTCGTCCTGCTCCAGACTGTCGTTAGTCCGAATAAGGCTGTTCCAGTTTACCCAAAAGGCTCAGGAAGAGACTAAGTTATGCCACTATGAACGTCATGTTGGGTTGGCAAAGCAGCGAGGACTTATCTTGACACCACATCTCAATGCTGGATACCGACTACTTCCACAGTTCACAACACTATCTAGTGTTCTGGAAATTCCTTTCCATTAATTCGCACTGTTCCTATAGCTTGGCTCTTCGTATTGCATAGTTCCTGATATCTATACCCATATACTTGTCCTAGTGCACCTATTGGGATTCGCTGAGGACGACAGCCTTTCCCATTCATGCGGAGGATGCGGAGGAAATAACTTAAGCATATTTCTAGCCATTTCAGATACCCAGCAACAGCACGGAGCATAGTTCGCTCCTTCTGTGTTGTGCACACCGAAGCAAAGTTGTATTGGCATGCAAGGAGGCCTCCAATAGTATCCACGTGACATACCGAAACGAGTCGTACCGCTCAACCTCGCTTGCCGCTAGCGCCATCCGTAGTTCCCCACCCAATCCTATATAAGCAACGTTCCCCCGTCCCCCTTTTAGACTTTTTTCTTCTTTCTTTTCTTCATACTTACCTTGTTTGGGTGACTGCGATCAAGAAGGCGGTTCACCACGGATTGGTCCCTGCATTGCACAGCGCGGCGGAACAATCCGTTCAACGGCCTACGGGTCATTGACAGGCGTATTCTTTGGCACTTCTCCTTTTGGAGCTTATATTTCCTTTTCATCAGTTCTTGGGCCAGTGGCCCGAGGGTGGAGAAGAGGACCTCGTAGCAGTAGAAAAATCGCTTCTTAAGTGGTGGCATTGTACCAGCGAATAGGATCTTAGCAGTCCGTGACGGAAGTAACTACCGACTGGAAGGCAATAATATCCGCGTTGTTGGAGCTCGTACTCTGTGCTTAGGTTGCTAAGCCACGGTCGGTGGGTGGCCTATGACGTTGCGGATGCTGGGTCGCCACCCCGACGCATATAAGTAAACAATATCGCAGCTCATTACTACCTACAATACCTACTCCCTATCTATCATAATCCAAACAAAATCTTTCTTTCCTCCCATTTGTCCTTCTGATTGAAAGTGACACCAAAACAATATTCACTACCTCTAAAAATGCCACACAAAGATACCAACTCGTTGCCCAACGGCACACACGGTACCTCGGATTCTTCCGCCAACCGCCTCGCAGCAACGGGAAATACCCTCGGCGCGTCCGCCTTTGGCACAGGCATGGACCAGAACAGTGCCACGATACCCGAATACCTGTCCACGGGCTCGGATGATCTCAGGCCTTTGAGCAAGGAGGAAGCGGATAGGTTGTACGAGGAGAGAATGGAGGAGGAATATGCGAAGCGGGAGGGAGGTGCTTGATTGGTTGCTATGATCCATATTGATTGAACTCTAGTATGGAGTATTGTGTATATATATATCAGATTGACCTGCATATTCATTCGCCATTACCCATGAAACTAAAGTAAATACTCCCTCGCATTGATCAAGTAAATGTGAGTACTATGAGTGTTACTCGCAACATATATATGTTGAATGAGGAAAAAAAAAAAAGGGACAGCGTCCGACGCAACTCGAACCCGTCTCCTCAACACCGTACAATGCACCAAGACACTCCTACCTCCATATGAAGTCTGTAAAAGTTGCAAAAAAAACTGGTAGCTTCTCTTTGATTGAGCGTGTCATCCTTAGTGCAGGGGCCATGCTAATCTTCTCTGTATCGTTTCAAATTGACCAAATGCCCGAAGGCAATAGTTACCTCTTTACAATGGATTATATAGGAAGAGCGGGTGTTATTCTACGGTCCTGATTGGCTGCTAAGCGAGCCGCCGGGAACACCAAAACTGCCTGCCTTCACCCCGCGCTGTTTGCCTGAGGACGCACAGTGTAGTAAGTAGTACGGAGGGTCGGTCGGTCGTCGTGGTTGCGATACGCACGGTCTACATCGGTGTTGAGCATGAGAAGGTAGTCGATAATGCAAGGACAGAAGATAGCAGTGTCTGCTGTATATGCCCCCCCGGTTATCGTCAGAATGGCACGGATTGTCTTCAGGCATATGCGCCCTAACCTGGCGTGTCAGCAATAGTACTAACTCAATGGGAAGCGTAGCTCTGCCACAAGAAGTAAAAATGCAAATCTGCAATAAACGGAAGAAGACGAAAGAAGCAAAAACAAGCATAAGCCACCACTTGCGATATTATTAGCACTCGAAGTTATGCTCTAATGCTCAAGAATAAGGTGGAATAGAAGAAGAAAAGAAATAAGGCGAATAGATACTCCTAGTGGCAGTCGAGGGTGGCCCCTCCTATTCCTCTTACGGCGAGATCGGCTATCGGCCAGCCCCAACAACACTCCATCTGGCGGAGTACTTCAGTGTAACCGATTTGCAATTAGAAGCCCACTACGTATGGTTAAGCATATTTTGCACGACGGAGTTTCTATAATGCTTGAGTCTACGTCATTAATGTTACGAGCTGGGAGAGCCTTGTGTCTGGGATCAACTCAACCATACCCCCAACGGCGCAGCTGAACCAGATCTACGGAGTAGATGCCTACGATTTACCACGCATGGCATCTGCCTTCCTTCTCTCTTCTCTCTTCTCTATCAATACATTTATGATACAAGTCTACTGTGAAGCATATTTGAGTACGAAGAGGTGCTATTTCCTCTCTAAATCTGGTATGCACTGCTACAAATCCAGGTCCCGGTGTCTGGACACAACGCAGATCGCTGCTTTTGGCTCGGAGTTATCTTATAACGTACAATTGCAGGCAGTGAGGCTGCCTAAGTAGTCCATAGAAGGCAATGATAGATAGTAGCCTGGATATATAATTCACTTCTCCCACAGTCCTTCTCCAATTCTTCAAACATCGTACCCCCCTACCCCCTGGCATCAATCAACCTACCAATCACACCCGAAACAATCACTATACCTTACTATTATACAAACAAAAATGCGCTTCACAACTCTCTCTGTCCTACTTCTATCAACTTTAGCACTAGCAACCCCAGACTCCGACCCGGCCATCGAAAAGCGAGACGACAACACTGACTCGGATTTGTCCAACCCTCTAAGTAACCTGTATACCTACCTATCTACCTACCTACCTACACATTCCTTACTCTCAGCCCTCAACAGACTTAGCTAACAAACCATCAAACCAACAGAGTCAACCCAACTACAACCACCACAATGCCCACGCTCTTCCCCGAAGTACCTACCTCCATCCGATCCGACCTCATCACTGAAGTACCGACCTCTGTCATCTCCGAGATGACGAACCCGACAGCTTGGTCATCAGTCGCGAGCGAGTGGAAAAATGGAATTATTCCATCGTGGTACAGTAGTCTGAATGGGGATGTGAAATCGTACTTTTCGACGGCGTTTGAAACAGCTTCGCCGTCCACCTCGTCTTCGCATGGTGGTGCTGGGCCTGTGGCTCCGAAGGCGACGGGTATGGCGGGTATTATGGGTGCTGCGGGAATTTTGGGGATGGCGATTGTTTTGTAGGTTGGTTGTAGTGAGAATGTGTATATATATTGTCAAGACGAAGGGTCAAAGATATGGGTCTGAGTTATCCAGATCTCAAAAAGATGGGTGGTTGTTGGAAGAGGTGGTGGTCAGACACAGGAAGGAAAGAGGTTAAGGATCAGCTGACGCTGACTGGAGTGAATATCTCAACAGCATCTCGTTTAGCCTGCATGTCAAACAAATACATAAAAGACGGTCTAATGGGATCCAAAAATGAGTGTGGCATCTTTAATGAGGGACCCTTCGAAACCTTCCACTGGTCGATGTTCATGAGGAAGCCATAGAATCTTGTCCTTCCTGAGGCAGACCCATCCATCCTCCACTTTTATTCGATCGTCAACAGCAGATAGAAAGACCAGATGGCCCTCGGTGTCAGTCTCTAAGTGATATAGCTCGTGCACCGTGCTCACATAATTGCCATTTTCGGAAAAGCGAATGTAGCGCCCAGTGACACCATCGATGGAACAATGCATTTCACACGATGGCACATCCCCCAAATCCAAGGTGAGCTTACCCCAGCTCTTGGAAAGCACAGCAAGGGTCATATCGTTCGGCGAAAAAGCCATTCTCATTCCTAATCATATGATTTTTTCAGGTAGATGTGCTTCCCTGTTGAAAGTTCACGAATTCCGACTTTCGTATGGTCAGTGACAGCTAACAGGTGACCACCGTGGGAGACTTCATATGTTCTCAGCTCAATCGAGCCGTCGAAAGTCTCGATCTGCTTCCCCGAAATTGGATCCCATACCTGGAACTGCAGGGTGTCTAGGGCCCATGTAATGATCTTGCCATCGGGCCAGAAAGCAGCCTTTATACTGGCGTAACACTCAATATCTGAATCGTCAACATCCAACTCCAACGTTCGAATCAATTTCCCACTGCCTGTGTCCCAAACCATGATTGTCTCTTCCACAAATGCTGCAACAAGGCGGCCGTCGCCAGAGAATTCAGGGCCAGTATGAGAGCCTCGAGCTGGTTCTATGGAGTGCCTGTGGGGAAATCTCAGAGGGTTGCGCCATCAAGCGTGACCAAGAGAACCAAGATGGATTTACGGGGCAAGGGATGAATAGAAAGAATTGAAGAAGTATGGGAAACAGTTTGAGTCTCCATTGCCGACCCGTAAATCCCACAGGCATACAATGCCATCGCCCCAATCAGAGATTAGCTCGCCATTGGGAGAGAACGCAAAAGTATGAACACGATTAAGGCGATGCTCTAACTTTCCTGAAGCGCTGTTCCAGAGTTTAGTTGTGCCATCCCAGCCGCAAGAGGCGACAAATACACCACTGCATGAGAATTCTACCGACAAAGGGTAAAAGTTCTCGAGACTGTGAACTAGCGAACCATATCTTCCATTCCACACTTTGACTTCGTCAAGGTAGGAGCACGATGCTAGCAGGTCATCATGAGGAGAAAAGGCTAGGAATCTGGTAGGAAACTCACACATTTTGATTTGGGACTGCACTGCCATACTCATAGCCGTGTTCCACAACCTCAATATACATGTATCAGACCCGGTTGCAATTATCTGCTGCCATGTGAGATTGCCGATGCCATAAGACCATCAATCTGACATTCCAGCTTCTGATAAAACGTACGGTGGGCAATATTCCACAGCCCTAACGTGTGGGGGTTGGTGGACATGTCCTGTACGAGCACTGCCGTGGGGTGCTCAAGGGATACTGGTAGGACGATGCTATGATATAGTGGCTCGCTTGCGTATGATTTGGCCATATTGGATGAAAGTTAGGTATACTGGCAAAAGTATTGATTGGCAGGCATAGAAGGACTTGTTATTGACATGGAGTAGTTCACACTGAGACATTAAGTCATGGTTTCCTATACTACTGTGCAGAAAGCCAGTGAACTGCAAAATGCTCATTATTAGTCCATACTTTCTAAAACATACTATATTTCATCAACTGATCAGAGCCGACCCAGGTACAAGGAGGCTTAGCCATCCCATAAGTACTTGGTACACTGGAAATGACTGAACCATTAGTCTGACGCTTCACTACTCGGGTACTAGTACTTGAAAACATCTGTTTCTGTCATCGACTGAAGGATACTGACGATGATTGTTAGTTAACACTTCTTTATATGCGGATAAAAGTCTTCTTCTTGTTTCCAGAACCCCATATAAGGGGTTGCGGTGCGGAGCTAAGTAAGCTTACTCCACTGGTAATGAAGCATCGCAAACTTAATGACCTAAACCCGAGATAATAGTGGGCGCTCTTGCTGATCGCGGCCTTCGGCTCAGACCTGCCCTTAGTGAAACCGGTCGAAGGCGGGTCAGAACGTTTAGTGATCTTCGCTAGGTGGATTTCAGGATATTCAGGGCGAAATTCCAAATATTGAGAGCAACTCAACGCTCATCCGTAGTAGTTATTCTGAGGAATAAGCCCAAGTAAGCAGTTTAACGAGAGATGCCTGGCGGATCCTCAGTCTCTCTCCCAAGATTTCCCTCAATTCCAGCCATGGAACGTAGAACCCGAACCGGCAAGCTCCATTACAGTGATTGTCGGAAGACTGGCTCCATCGAAGCCAAGCTCCATGGACACGGCACAGCTATGAAGGCGAAACCCCTAAAACAGATCGCCCTTCACTTACGTCAATTTGCTCAGCAGTGCAGCAACAACAGACAAGTGCACAATGCTACACAGCGTGCCGCGTCTCACCCTGAAAATTTCAGACTGGTGTTGAGCATTGGCCTCCTGGTCAGATATTAGCTGCATCGCCACACCTACTTTGCTGGTGAATTCGGTGTATTCCCCCTCTCGGACTGCTCTCAATCCGCATCGGAGACCGACAAGTCTGCATCCGAGTGCGTAATCGAGCAGCGACCTTGCTGCATCTGGCCAGTCAGTGTCCTGGTAAATGTCAGCGGTGCTTTGTGAAAGCCAATCAATATCGGTGTATTGGCTTAACGCCGAGGGGCTGCTGGAGCTTTGCGCCGAGATCTACACCCGCTGACAATTACGTGTCTTGTGATTGGCTCGCGCCAAGGCAGCCTGGAAGGGTCTGGAGAACAATCAGAAAAAGTCGATTCTGGCTGCCACAGGGGGACTTTTCTTATAAATATCAGTGCTTCCAGAAGATTTTTCTTCTAGCTGAAACCGTCATCCAGATCAACTTCTTGGAATCGATCAAGCTTCTTTCTATCACGCCTGGACTTTGTTTGTCTAGTCCAGCTTTGCCGTCTCTCGAGAATCCCTCAGCCTTACCGGAATTGTTAAGAGGGTCTAGATTCGGCCACCGACTCCGGCTTCTGACGTCAGGCCTGAGGCAGCCCGCAGCAGCCCAGTCAATCTACAATGGCGCTATTATTTCTGAAGCAGAAGCTCTTCCCGAGCGAAAAGCAAAAACAGGCCCTTCCATATGGTATGCTCGCCTACCAATGGATAGTTCAATACGAGCTGGACTGACCAAACCAGGCAAACCACTGCTTTCCAATGAAGATACCGATACTTTGCCAACTGAGCAAGACCTCGAAGCTCAACGGTCTTACTCTACCTTCCGCGCCTCATCTCCCGTTTCCGACACCGACAGCACCGCCGCCAGCACTAGCAGTTCGCGATCACGAATCAATCCACGCATTGTATCCGATGCCATTCTAGGTTTATCAGATGGCTTGACGGTGCCGTTTGCGCTGAGTGCTGGTCTCTCGGCGCTGGGAAACACTAAAGTCGTTGTGCTTGGTGGATTGGCCGAATTGACCGCGGGTGCCATCTCCATGGGCCTGGGAGGATATGTCGGTGCAAAGAGCGAAGCGTAAGTTTCCTACCCTGTATAAACTCTTTCGTTCAATTCTAACAGCAAACAGTGAATCCTATGAAACCACCGTTCGTGAAGCAAAAGAACTCATCGACACATCACCAGCCGAAACAAGTTCCATCGTCCAGTCCATCTTCGCTTCCTACCGTCTCCCCGAAGATGTCATCAACCAGATTAACATGTCCCTCCACTCCTCTGAAGACCGCCTCCTCGACTTCCTGGTCAGCTTTCACCACAAGGAATCCGAGCCTGACTGCAACCAGGCCTGGATCTCCGCCATCACACTTGCGCTGGGCTACTTCGTGGGTGGTTTCATCCCGCTCATCCCATACTTCATCGTCGACCAAGTGATCGTGGCCTTGTACATGAGCATCGGAGTCATGGCAATCACACTGCTGGCCTTCGGATACATCAAGACATGTGTGGTGCGCGGCTGGTCCGGGCGCGACAACGTCGTCGCAGGCATCAAGGGAGGAATACAAATGTGTTTCGTGGGCGGAGTAGCAGCCGGAGCAGCGATTGCCTTGGTCCGGTTGATCGACACCGGCGGAGCGTGATCTCCCAACTTCAAAAGTTAATCATCCCATCATTCTCATGCCATAACGACTGTACATTATTAGATACCACGACCACCATTCCATAGAGCGGCTCTTTGACCACAAAACAAATTCTAACTTTAATATATATCCAAAATACTTATTCACAAAGTAACAGTCCTATATAAAACAAATAGATATGGACCGGAATTTAACCCATCAAAGCCTCCTTGACCAAATCATTTGCCTCATCCCCCATCTGCAACTCCAATGCCAAACCCCTCCCCCGTTCCGACATCTTTCCCCAGGTCTTTCTCAAGATCTCCACCACCTTCTTCCTCTCATAGTTTTCTTTGAACTTTTCAAACTGATCATCCAAAAACACCAAACACGCCACATCCTCCAAAATCTGCGCCTCCGCATCCTCCCCTCCCTTCAACCCTTCCTTGCGAATCAACCGGCCCACGCGCTCCGCCTCCGCCTCCCCAATTCCACTCTCCAGACACACCTGTACCGCTATCTCAGCCTGGCGACGCGCCACCGCCGTCCGCCAGGAATAATACCCTACTTTACCATCGGGGTAAGTACTGCGGGGTACTTCCCAGCGCTTGAGGTGCTGCGCGCGGATAGCGAGTTGGAGGGTCGGGGAGGGGTCCGGGGTGTGTTTGTATAGGTAGTTGGTCATTTTCTCGGCGTAGTGTAATTCGTAAGGGATGTCGGTGTTGGAGACTTTCGTGGGGTCTTCGGAGTGGAGGGCGTCGATTCGAGTGAGGGCGGTTGTGAGGGGGTCCATTTTGAATTCTTTTAATAGTAGGCAATGGGATCGGGAGGGTAAGTTGTGATTGTAGTGGATATATGGTTATATATGCAAGATATGTATAGGGAATATAAAGAGGTAGGATTTGTACAGGAGTAATCTGTAGAGAAACGCTGTATTTAGGTGATGATTTATCGAGTTATTGGATTCCGACCTCGGGGTTGCCTTGCGGTTCGGTGCTGCACTGCATCAAATACCGGCTGCGGGATTGGCTGGCGGGTCGGCATTTGGGTGGGTTCCAATTCTTTTCTGGGTATGTGAGGGAGGGTGGGGGGATGCTGATAAGCGATAAGGAAGTACACCCCACATGTTGGGTTGGGTTTTGGTGAGTTTAATATTCAGTTATTAAGGTAGAGTATATGTGGGAGATATAAGGCTGGAGGAGAGTCCGCGGAGATGTGGCTGTTTTTAGGGCATAGAGTAGTTATCTTGTTACTTTGTGTAATCGTGTTCCGATGCTTTGGGTTCTGAGCTTTTACCTACCCTTTGGTATGCATGCATGTGTTTGGTAGACATGGCGTCAGCTACTTGAATTGGAAGCGATCTTTATTCGCAGAGAGGATATAGGAACCTGGCTTATTTTCATGATCCGAAGACGCTGTGACTTCACACATAAATCGGTAGGATGAAACTCCATAGGCATCTTTTGTTACTCCGTGGTAGATACTCATGTACTATTCCGAGTATACTCGAAGATAATGTATGTGAAATGAGTCTAAATCTGATCAATAGTATCAGGTCAAAAAGCCTGGAATATGATTCCTGGACAATGAGTTGTTAGCAGCATACCTCTCGGTCTGTGGTATCGGATTCAAGACCTAATTTGCCTGGCGGTTAAGGCACTTCTGCCACTGAATGGAACAGTGCCGTTGTCTATGGAGTCTCTATGCAGAAGGACGGCGACAATTCGAGTAAATATTAGCATCTAATGCTAGAACAAAAGGACAGCTCACACTGGTATTTGTGTATAATGTATAGGCGAAGCATCGAGACGACTGTTTGCAGGTATCATCATCGTGTGAAGCTAGCCCAGTAGCTACCACAGCATACATCCCAACTACTCCTACCTCCCGGCCATTTGCCATACTATGCATATATTTCATGGCGATAATGCGGTCTTAAAAGGAGCTAAGACAGGCACCTACACTTTCACTGACAAAGTACACTGTTGAGACGAGAGCCAAGTTTGCACTCCAAGTCAAGATGCCACTATCCATTAGTGCAAGAAAGCGGGATAGGATCAGCCGGCCAACCTTCTACAACCATCTTCAATCTACACTTTGTACTGCGTAATTCGCCTTTCATCTTCATACCAACAGT